GCCCTTTGCTAATGGGGCTTTTCTTTTGCCATCAGGCCTTGATGGATGTAGAAAATAATATAAAATCATGAAAATTAAAATGAATCAAATCAGGGTCCAATTAGCCTAATATGCTTCTGGAGGAGATTAATTTCTAAGTATTTGATTTTCTTCAATCTTCTTTGGATTGGTGTCTTGGAGCTACATTTACAGACAAAAGCAATGAGATAGTCATGAAGATCGAGAACAAAAGAAAATTGAAATGGACAAGTCCAGAGGAAAACGCTTAAAGCGATACTTAGCTGATGAACTTTTATGTCCTAGCATACTGTTTATTGCACAGCGCCATAACATGGTCAACTTGCCAACAGGGTGTAACCTAATACCTAATGCTCACTTCTCAGATAGAGGAGTCGATGTGAAAACCATCAGCGCAGCTAGGAAAGCAGCGAGTTATGGTACCATAGTACAGCAGACTTGAGAGGGCACAAGAGGGATTTGCGGTAGTGCTTCAAGTGTAATATATCTTTAATATCATGGAGAAAACGGCAGTGGCGGGAACATGTACCACATAAAACATACACAAAGGCATTTTCATTTTTACAATCCATGAAATAAACCAATGTACAAAAAAAGAGTATCATTGAGAATAAGAGAATGAAGGGAATTTTGCCATTTTTTGAGAGCCAGAATTAAAAGGCTTTAATTCATCTGGTCCTAAATAATGCCCTTCTGTCTCCCAACAAGTGATAAAAACATACCAAATATAATGCAAAAAATGCAAAAAATGCATAAAATGCATAGACAGCATATTAAACCGAGCCATACAATTATAGAAGGGAATGAATAAAATATGATGGTGACAAAGAAAAGGCAAGGCAGGAAAAGGATTTTTTTAAAGAATGAATTGAAGGGGAACAGGTAGAAAAGAAACGGAAGGATGGGGACTATTTCATCAACAAAGGAGAGAAATATTAATAATTTGGCTGTCATGATTTTGATGGTTTCTCATTATATAGACACTGACAAAAACTATTGACTGGATATATCTTGATTGCAAAGTTGGTCTTTATGAATATGACATGGAGAGAGCAATATTATAGTGACCTAGATGGAACAAAATTTAATAAATTTTTCTCTCCCTGAATGTTAATAACCTTGCTCTCCTTTCCAACTGTCCACGCGGTTCAGATTGTTATGACATGTACGCTGTTAACTGCACCTGGATTGCATGTATCAATGTATATAACAACAACCAAGAACAAAACCAGTTCCCTTTTCTACCAGAGTTAGGTTATATATCCTGCTGTTGTTCAACTTGAACTGAAATTAATGCAAACAAATGTGTATTAAATACATAGCAAAAGATATTGCATCACAAATGCATACAAAGACCAGGAAGATACCTTTGAAAATGATGGGATATTGAACCATATTTGGTTCTATCATTTTAAAATAATGGGCTGAATACATGAAAGAGCCATTTTATATACCCTAAATGTACATGTATGTATGTACACTGTATGTATGTATACAGGATGTTTACAAAAGGAAAAAATTTCTAGCCTACACATAAATGTACCTGCAGAAAAAAAGACACCAGAAAGGAACATTAATGATTGGTGATTAACATATCCTGAATGATGTTTCAACCTTTTTTGGGGGGGGGGGGGGGGGGGGGGGGGGGGAGGGAATGATAAAGGGTTCAAGGAAATATATGCATGAGACATGAATCATAGAATTAATCATTACAGTCCTTTTTATGTGAATATGCAAGCAAGACGAGCATTTCTCAAAAAGTAAAAAAGGAATCTTTGGAAGAGCTTCACTTTTTGACACCCTTCATATGAAAGGAAAGGTTGACTGAAAGTTTGGACATGCGATTGTAGAGAAGAATAGGGGCATGTTTCACAAAGCCTTTTTTCAATGACAAATGACAAAAAAAAAATCAGTGACAAATCTGCTGATAACCAATCAGAAGCAAGGATTTCAGTAGCTTATAACAAACACTGCTATTCATCACTGATGACAAGTTTTGTGAAACGCCCCCCTGAAGGAATTAGTGGGAGGGATAGGGAATAGCTAGGCCAACAACTAGAATGGTGTCAGACTTGATATTAAAGGTGACAGATCATATATGACAAAATGAATAAGAAGACTAAAGAAGATAGAGAGGGATGGAGAAATAACTAAAGAGGGCTCTGGTGTGTAGACTTGCCCTTGGCAGAACACGCGAGACGAAGAGCCAACAAACAAAAATCCATCTTCCGTCTCAGCTTTTCACCTACCAACCCATTACATTAACTGCCCCTAAATGGCAACTTGGATCGACTTTCATTAGAATGCCAAACACACTATACAAACCACTACCGGTACTCATATTTGCCAAAGCCGACAGAGGTTAAAAGTCACTTACAATCGAGTGGATTCCTTGATGGCCTTCCTCACTGCGACGTCATCCACCACAAGAGGGCGCTTGTCATTATCAGGATAACAGAAACAACAACTAAGGCAGTGGAATACTGTGCTTGTCATATTTCACACACTATGCAGATCATTATAAAATAAAATTTGCTAGAATGAAAGTCATTTTGCCGCTGAATATACTGCGATTTCAATATCTTGACGATTGCAAAATCTTCATGAAAAAACTTTGATGTCTTTTTCTGCCAGTATAGAGCTCCTTTAATTAAAGCTCCCTTCTAGTGTAAACGCCATGTAACACAATGTAGTCTGCATTTTATTTTAGAGTGATACAATTTGGTCATTCAGATCAGCAAATCCTAGAGATTCATTTTCCAAAATGGCTTATCCTCACTTAGAAGAAAAAAGAAGCCTTAGAAGAAAAAAAAGAAGCCTTACAAGCTTAATTAGTCATTAGACCAATAACAACAGCATAATTAGTCAACAATCCAATTAGTAAAAAGCTTTCCTGTACTGTAAAACAAGCAGTCCAATGTGATAGAATCTGGTCTCTTAGATCTGTTAGGGTTCAACCTCTAGACTAGATCCTGTGGCTTGTATGAGACCGGTGCAGTGTAGAACTTATCCAAGAAGAAAAGAAAGTCTCTCAGTTCAGGAGTTCCTGGAGAAAATTCACACACGCTTCAATCAACTTCCCATAGTTTGTTTTGGAATGCACCGGTCCTTGATCACTATGTATCCAGAAACAACTAGAAACTGTTCTCCAGGAGCAACAAAACACTAATGACATACACAAGAGTACATGTAGGTCTATGTGTCACTGCAATCCACTATTACCCATGAACACCATTGCTGGCATATGAGGACATCTACAGGTTGATCAACATGCATATGTCTTGATCTCTGCCTCCATTTCATTGAGGAGTATTTGCTAAACAAACGGTAGATACATTGACGGTTTTATGGTGTGTTTGAAGAAAAGATTACATTTGGCTAGTATGTGATGGCACCATCAAATGTATTTAGATCCTATCTTGTGTTCTCAGTTTCCTTCTCTTTTTCTCATCTCTCTGTGCTGACATTTGCTGTCCCTAAACTTCCCTGTCACAACCAGCTTATTTCAAATAATCTTGCGTGCCTTTCATGTCCTTGCCTCCTGGCCAATCCCCTGGTCTCTCCTATTCTCAATCTATCTATCTATCTATCTATCTATCTATCTATATATCTATCTATCTATCCATCTGTTTGTCTGTCCCTATCTTTCTGTACAATGTATACGCCTCTCTGCATGTTGCCTATCTATCTTTCTGTCTATGTGTGCCCCTCCCTTTGTAAATCTTCACCCCACAGAGTTTCTTTTCAATCTAGACATATCATATACTTTTCTAACAAAACATGAAACATATATATATATTCCACTCCTTCCCTTGTCTTTCCTTCTCCCCTTCTTGCATTTTGCTCATTCACTGCCTCGTATCATTCCCTAGTTGCAATCTCTCCCTTGCCAACAAAATCAAATTCACAAACATATCAGTTAAATGAACATATCTACAGAAAGAAAAATACATACAAAGCACTTAGCTAGACACCTCATCTCACCTGGAAGACAATGTAGAACCCATCACAGCAATAGAGCACTGTAATTTATCTTGCAAGCTTCATAAAAGTTCCTTCAATAATCAACTACGCAATAGTCACCACTGACAGTAAATACAAGTATGCCAACATAAATCACATGCTTGGGTCGTAAACACGTACATCAGATACATTACATATTGTTCTTGAAGAGTATAGTCAGTAAAAGTACAAATCCATTGACCCGGAGTTATGGTTTTGCAAATTTGACAGGTAGCATTAGTTATTTTTCACGGTAATCACCAGTGAACTAAAAACCTGGACACGATCCAGAGATGCTTTATCATTAAGTTTGGATTCCTTGTTTTATGCAATCTATGGCCACAAAGAATAATGGATTGAAAAAAAACTATCAGTATTTTCTGGCTTGGAGAAAAGGTTTTAAATAAATGCTGGTATACTTTAGAATACTTTAACATGATCGCATATACTTGTAAGAAACATTATACTAAAGAGGGAGAGAGAGCAAGAGAGATAGAGATAGAGAGAGAGAGAGAGAGAGAGAGAGAGAGTTGGGGGGGGGGGGGGAGGTCAACAAAGAGATACATGTAAACAAAACCAGAGTGTAAGAATTACAATGTAACATATTTCACATTAAAGAAATATGAATGGAAATTAATATGCATATCAAGCAAACAGAATCAAAATGATCAAAAGAAGAAAAGAATCAAACAAATTAAAGTGATGAAAAAGACGGGAACAAGGAATAAGACAAGAGGAAATATGAGTAATTTCATACTTAAGGAGTAAAATAAAAGTCAAATGTAGGAATCATTAGAAAGAAAGAAAGAAACAATAGAAATAACTGCATGGTGTATACAAAAATAAAGAAGAATTGTCTGAATCATGAAGTGTACAGTATGACGAATGGGATCACTTAACACTTAAATCACAATGACACACATGCAATATATATACATAAATTATTCTTGATATTTGATATTTTTTTCGATTTCACTTACTTGTACCAGCAGATAAAAGCAATGGCGACGCCAATGATGGCAACAGCAACGCAGCCAACAACAATCACTGCAAAAGAAAACGGGCACAAGTATGAAAAAAGATAATCATGTCTGATCAAAATTATAGCATGCAGCACGAAAGGAAATCTTTAAAGAGAAGGTTGAGTTCTGGTCAAGCGATTGTATTGTGAAAGAAACGTTGTGGAATCGATCAGAAAAGATTGATCATATAAGTATTTACCGTGTATGTGTATTGCAAGGTTCTGGAATCATCAAAATGCTAAGAAATTTGGGCCAGTCTTGGTAAAGTTACAAGCGCTGTACACAGAAAGATGTATATAGGATTATTAAAACGAACACGTGCCGAAAAAATCCGTCCCGATTTTTATGTTACATGCCATATTTAGAATTTTTAGAGTTTGGTACAATATGGCTATTACAAAAGAACATACGCCATGTACGTTGTGACCTACAGAAAACCAAGCTGGCCAAACTCTGTGTATATATGGCTCTGATCCAAAGTGTCAAATGCTGCCATCTGTTGCTCACATCAAGGCAATAATGCTCAGCAGAAAAAAAATAATTGCCCAATATTCTTTATTAAAAGAATTATCTGTGTAGAGACGGCTTTTGCTTTGGATGAAGGCACTCTCATTTTCTTTATTAAAATCAAATAACATGTTTTTCACCACTAACTACTATATTATGTACATGTGATGAACACAAGATACTTATAGAGATCAGTCATATGCACAAAATTTTAGATAACCTAGATACACAACAAAATAAGGTTCAAGAGATTTACAAACTTGAAGTACTTCTTCATGAGGTGTTGTAATTATGCTATCATTTTCTTAGACTTTGAATTAAAAGTGCACAAATTTTAACAAAGATGGCTTAGACTTATTCATACCAAAATTCTATCAAAGGTATAATTTTTATTCAAAGACAACAGCTTTACACGCTATTAAATTCCAGACCTCCCACTTTCATTGAAGAAAACTCATGAATACTATTCACATTTCTTGTATACTGCCCTCTCGTGTCCACTTCTCCACATGCCTGTACAGGACTTTGCTATGACGTCTGATAAATTTGACCATCTTGACTACTACCCTTGATACCTACAAATGCCTACCATATGTTACATGATATCGACGGTTATGACAAGATGATTCAGGTTTTAACAGGAGCATTCTTCCAAATAAAGTGTTTCATCAAGTTTTTGGTAAATGCTGGAGTCAAAACATACACCACTATAGCTTTAGAAGCTTCATAATTAACTTACATGAATATATCACACACAGGTACAATCGACCTCTACACAGTAGTTGTGTTTCTTATTCAGTATTAGGGACTTTTCGATTTGCACATTCATAAGTGGACTGCTGAGCGCAAAACTCGATCGAATAGCTAAAGATATAACACCAGATTCGGTGCATGGCACTGTTCTCAAAAATTATGCTGCAACAGATTAGCGTTGCATAAATAAAATGTGTTCATTTTATGAATTATTCTGCTTAGTGAGCACGAAATTTGATCGAAAAGCTAAAGATTCAACACACCAAATTCGGTGCATGGGACTGATCTCAAAAATTATGCTGCAACAGATTGGCGATGCACAAATAAAATGTGTTCATTTCATGAATTATTCTGCAACAATTTTGATTTAAGGGAATTATTACAGACACAAAAATGTGTTAAGTTAAGAGAATTCATGCTTCCACCACTCTCCGGTTCTAGAATTAGGTCAATTGGGTCCATTTTTTGACTTCAATGTGATGTTTCGTGCCTACAAAAGATTGCTTACGAACATGTATCGTCACAGTTTGCGAATGACGGCAAAAGAAGGGCGAACGCGTTCGAGAATTCTGCTACGAACGATGAGCTCGTCAATGCGCATGCGCACTGCTTCAAAAGTGACCGCATACAGTAAACAACATTTGAAATCTTAAGAATTTGTGGTTTTATAATGATCTATACAAGTCGAGTCTATCGAGTCATATTTTAAAATAGATCTACATTCTAAGAAAATATTTTGATAAATGGCAGGGTCCAATTCGACCACAAAATTGATTTTGAGCAAAAGCCTCAACCCAAAGTTTAGGTTCAAATTTTAGTTACTGGAAGTAACTAAAAAGGAATAAAAGAATTCAGTAGTAAATGGGTTAACTTACGGATGAATTGCCATTCCGCTAACAAGATGACACTGCCATTGTTTTCAGCTTGATGAATCTCAACGTCTGCGTTCGATTCCTGGAGTCCATCACTTGGATAGTTCTCAACACTGTCATTGGGATCTGATCAAAAATAATGAAGAAATTATGAAAGTAAAAATACCAATATAATATCATTGAATATGTTTATAGCATATAAACATCCAAGATGCAAGGTAGAGGTGATCCAATTTTACCAAGTTGCAGTTTGGCTACTGATAACAGTGCTCACGGCATTCAAAGAATACTTCTTTACCGGTACCCATTGAAAACCTGGGTACAGACAGGTAAATGTAGAGAAATGTCTTGGTAAAGGACACTAGCACCGCACTGGGGCTCTATCCCATTACTGCTGCGTCTAGTCAAGTGCTAAAACCACTTGATTCCACATTATATTGCATAAACTGATTTATGCAATATAATGTGGCATAATTCTTCTTGATAAATATTACAGCTAAGTTATGCTTAATAAACAATGTACATGCACTGTAGGCTTCAGTTCATGCATAGATGTGGTCTCACACACAACAAAATACATAACATAACATATACAGCCCCCACCCCATGATTTTCTAATTTTCTTAAAGTGCCCCCATTTCTCTCACCCATAGCTAAATCATTAATCTCAATTGAGCTCAATTCACTCTGAATTAAAAAAGAAAAATCACTTGAGCCTTTTCACTAATTAGAAGATACCAGCTAGAACAAGACAGAACAAACTCCTGAAGTACAAACATACTAAAGTCTAATTGAAAGAATATGAAGTATTTGTTAGCTACATGTATGTATGTTCTGTAATGGCTTCCAGAGTCAGGACATAGTAACAAATTTAGAAAAATGTTAGTCTTTGCTTTGTTGTTGTCATGTTTTTTTAGATGGGGGAGGGGGGGGGTATGTTTGTGTAAGTGGTATTCTATTTCTTTGTTCAGTAAACACCCAAAATAGAGTCACATCCAGGTCTTTCGGGGCTCCGTCAGATTCCAAGAATCGTTCTAAATAGGCCTATCTTCATCAGCATGAGATTGCCAAATATCCCTCTATTTAAACTACCCCGATCGCAAATTATCCAGTTAATTTGCATCTTCATCATCCCGAAGTTGCAATTACTGTGGTATTTGGTCGAGATAATAATTCCAAGATATCTTGGGCTAGTTTGGCAAAATCTACCGCTATTTGTCCGGTGTGTCTTCACCAGCCCGAAGACTCGCACTATGCGCGAACGCTGAGCAAAATATCTCGAGCTTGAGTTTCAAGTATCGAGGTCAAATCTTGAGCTGATGAAGACACGATTTGTAACTTCAGGATTATTTCCTAAATCAGAAATAGCGTGCTATTTGGCAATCTCGAGCTGATGAGGACAGGCCTAATACAGTGTAATGAATGATTGTGTAGAGCGTAAGTAACCATGAGTCATAGCTTATGTGCATGGAAGTGTCATCATGCGGCAAGATCTTAAAGAGCGCCTTGCAAAGTAAGAGAAAATAACACCTTATAGCCCCACTGCACTACTTATAGCTACTCGCACCCTCTGTTTAGCAAACAATGCCTAATCAGTGACCATGGGTCCCCTTTTTCTTATTTTAATTGAGAGCTGATTTGATGAGCTAACCACCTGTCATTGACCTTGCAGGGAGGTCTACTCCCTCCTGGCCAAAAGTAGTACAGATAGGCTTTAAAGCCCATATCTGATTTTGGAATAGCTCCTATAACATTTCATCAGATACTAGCTATTCTAAACTGCAATGAAGTTTTGTCTCATCATAAGTAGAATGTGAAACAAGTGTATGACAACAGATTAAAGATAATTTACATGATAGCCAGGGATGGAAATAGACACATGCCAATGCTTTTGTAAAACCTACTGATACAGAAGCTGTGTGCATGTGCATATTGTACAAACCTATGTGGCATTGCAGAGTTGTCATTTTCAGTGGAAACAAATATGAGCTAGATTATGCATTCCATGTAGATATATTCACACTAAAATTCATGAGAAATCATTGCTGGAGATTGTGGGTTTCGAGCCCCGGTACAGCACTGGTGTCCTTTGGCAAGACATTAACCTACATTTGCCACTCTCTACCCAGGTGTTAAAGGGGTACCAGTAGGAAAGAGTACCTTGTCTGCTGTGAGCAGCAAAACTGGTAGCCTAGCAAGAGTTGGAACTACATGTATATGGTAGAGTGCCTTGGGTACCTTGAGTGGTAGATGTGAGTGGTATAAAAGATATCCATTTGGAGTATTATATTATTTTCAAAATTATGGATACTGGCTACAGGTAAATCTTGCCATTGTGGCATTTCTCGCTGTCATTACTACTAAATACTATCATCATCCTTTGTATTATTATAGTAGGTTTGTAATTTGTAGGTTTTTTGTAATTTGTTTAAATTGTTTTGTTTAATATGTAATTGTTTATCATTGTACTTTTTTTGTTACGGCGCTAAGAGACTTCGGTGGTAAGCGCTTTATGAACACCGTTTTTATTATTGTCATAATCGTTATTATTTTCTTACTTTCTGCAGCACCTCCTTGTCCTGCTGTATCAGAGTTGGCCTGGTTCCCTTCGGCTCCTACATCAGCCTCGCGCTCCTGGTTGACTCCTGGTGGAGACTGGCCATCTACAGGAGGAGACTGCCCATTACCGGTATCAACTTCTATACCAGTGGTACCTGGATGGAGGAAGGAAGGATAAAACAATAGTATTGATCATTAATATGGATAACTAATATGGATAATTAACATTGATAATTAATATGAATAATTATGACTGGTAAAATCATGACGGACAGCTTCTGGCTCCTGGTGGGCTCCTGGAGGAGACTGGCCATCTGCTGGAGGAGACTGCCCATTACCTGGTATCAACTTCTATACCAGTGGTACCTGGATGGAGGAAGGATGAAACAATTGTATTGATAATTAATATTTATGATGATTAATATGGATAATCATGACTGGTAAAATCATAGAGGACAGCCTCTGGCTCCTGGTGGGCTCCTGGAGGAGACTGGCCATCAGCTGGAGGATATTGACAATTAACTTCTTTACCACAGGTACCTGGCTACAGAGAGGATGGAATCAATTTGTATTACGGTACATGCATTATTTAAAATATATTCTTCCATACTTTAAGATCTTTGTGAACATAGGAATTGCCTTCTATTATGCTTGAAAAATTGTGATAATGCTATCATTTTCTGCATTCTACTTCATCCATTCGCCAGAATATTATTCATCAAATCCCAAAGTCTAGCCAAAGAAAAATCACCCCCAAATTCCCTCATCACTATCAATAATTTACAAGGGTTACACCCATTCAATCCCTCTAACATCAATATGAATAATAGAAGACTAATCCAAGGTTACATCAATATCTCTGTCTTTCTTTCCTCCTTCTCTTTCTCTCCTCCTTCTGTTTCTCTCTTTCTCTCCTTCTTACGTTTCTCTCTTTCTCTCCTTCTTCTGTTTCTCTCTTTCTCTCCTCTTTCTTTTTCTTTCTTTTTCTCTCTTTCTTCTCTTTCTCTTCTTCTTTATCTCTTTTTGTTTCTTTCCTCCTTTTTCTCTCTTTGTCTCAGTCATATTCCTTCCCTCCCTCTCTCTCCCCTCGCCGTATTTTGATCTGTCTGCATGTCTCTCTTCCTCTCCCTCCTCCCCCTCTCTCTCTCTCCCCCTCTCTCTTTCTATCTCCATCTCTCCCTCTCTCCATCTTTACCCCCTCTCTTACCCCCCCCCCCCCTCCCCAATCCCCCCTCTCTCTCTGGTTATGATATCCAGACCCAAAATTTCATTATTTCCTTTCCCATTCTTCCAGCTGTTTTGCTGCACACACAGGCATAATCTGATAAAGCTTGCCATGGTATGATCATATCCAAAGCTCTTCCCAGATTGGAAAGATAATCACTTTCCCTCCTTGTAATGGATGAGTCAAGGCATTCATCATCTTTTTTTATTATATTTCATATTTGGAAAGTATATCATAAAGTCGTTGGATATTGAAAGTCTCATGGCTTAGTGACATTATGGTTCTGAACGTATGAACCTATTATGGGTACTGTTTAACAAGGCAGCAGGGGAAGCTATGAATATAAGGAGTCCAAACAATTGGGGACAGAAATGATCTTCTTTGGGGGGCTATCATGGAATTTCTTTGATGGCATTTTTCAAAGTGCATTTATGAAACAAACAGAAGAACAAGAATAGTTTTTTTTGTTGATAAAATGACAATAAGAATTATCTAGAATGAGTAATAGAATGTTATATGCGTGTAGTACTATACATCTACTCTAACCAGTGAAAAGAACTTTGAATAGAGTTGTCAAAAATCAGAATAAAACATATTTTATATGTACATGTAGACTTGTATCATTTTTGTTATGGTTAAATCTAACTCCATTAAAACAATTCTACTGAATTCAAAATACATTTCCTTGAATTTGACTTTGTATCAACAAAATTGGGGTTTTCCCTTTCTCCTGTTTTTCCCCCACTCTATAATCTGTATCGACTCTAACTGCCAATCACAATTTTCACATGTTACAGTGTAAATCCACACAAGTGGCAGTCATAGGCTCATGTATTTCATGCACAAATAAAAATCCTGTTGACAGAAGCAGCTGTTCTCAACAATCATTTTTTTAGGGAAAGTGAAGCAATTGGAAGCAATATCTATAAAATGATTGTATTTTACATGTAGATGTACACTTACATGTACATGTATAAAATTAATGTATATAGGCCTCAATATAATCCTACCGGGACATGTACAGTTCATAATACCGGTATGTATAATATATATTATATATATATGAATATAATATGTGTAATTGCGTATGTGTGTCAATAAAACCATTTTCTGTGCTACAAATCTTCAACAATCTTTAATAGGAAACAATTGTATTTGCTGTATTTGTCCACAACTTTAAACGTGTATTTTTTTGTTAAGGAGATAAAGAAAGTAAGAAAGAAAAGGGGAAAAAGAAAGAAATGTCTACCTACAGACAAGCAGGCAGATAGACAGACAGACAAAATGAAAGAAAGAAAGACAGACAAACAAAATGGTCCAATTAACAGACACAGGGTTAAAATCAATCTCCATTGGGGCTGAGTGACTAGCTGAATCATCATACATCTAAGGGGGAAAAAGGGAATAAGAAAGAAAGAAATGTATACCTACAGACAGACAGACAGAATGAAAGATAGAAAAAGAATGATCTGATTAACAGACACAGGGTTAAAATCAATCCCCACCAGGGCTGAATCACCATACATCTAAGGGGAGGGATAATTAAGAACAAAGGGATGGAATCATGAGAATGGAACAGATGTAACAGCAATTGATAAGATAACAATACCATGGCCATGTGTGTACAGTTTGTGTACATACTATCTGAATAAAAAGAATTTCACTGTACAAATACACCCAAAGATAAACAAAAAAATTATGGGATTTCATTCAAGTACAATGCTTTTAAAATGAATCAGTAGGGATTTTGTTCAATTCATCACTAATTACTCATTCTTTTATATTATATGAATCATTCATTTTGCTGGTGGGGGGGGGGGGATATGAAAGAGGGAGACAAACAAATTAGAGAGAGAAGAGACGGTAGTAAGAAGAAGAAAGAAACACTAAGTACATGTATATCAGAGAAAAAGACAAAATACAAAAGAAGATATAACTCATGACAAAAGCTAAAAAATTGGGGACTAAGAGAGATGACGTTTTGAAATTGTATGGCAGCTAGGACTACCCAATTCTAAAGTGAACCCATGAACAGCAAGACAGCGTAAAATCAACCTCAAAAACTTTACCAGTATTCTATGTGTCAACAGTTATGGGACATAAAGAAAATTAAATCACATAAAACTGGCTCACACGGAACCAAGTCTGTCTTAGGTTCCGTGCAGGCCGTTTTCCATGGAAGCATGCACAAGAGCTTCAAGCTGTCTTCTCACAAATCACATTATGTTCATTGAGAGTATATTCAAACTTGCAGTATCTCTCTAAAGGAGTTCTGTAGTATTTGAAGCTCATAATTTGAATGTAGTATGGCTACACGTAACCCTTAACATGAGTATATGTTTTGGCGATTGGTACAGTGCCCACTTTACGAGAATGGGAGGGTTAAATCCCAGACATCCTATGATTGATGTACCCATAATGCATGAGCCTGGGGGACAATACAAATGAGACACAGTACATTAATCATCACTCCCTTCTTTTATGTCATCCCTTCTTCTTTCCCCGAGGTGTTAAAGAGAAGATTTTTCCCATCAAGAAGCTTTTCAATCTCGTATCCCATCTGGATTATAAATAACTTAACCCTCCCCCCCACACACATTTAATTCTGCTACAAATGACAAATAGGTTTGGGAGTAGCACTACTTTGAGTTATTATCGCCCGTTTTTTTTTTTATAAATCTGAGATGAGTTTTATACAATGTTAGAATTTTGAAAGAGAAAGAGTGATTGTAGATCTGCATCAGTTCCAGTATTCTACTATGAAAAGACATTAATTACATAATTAAGAACAAATCAATTTTAATGAATTATAATGGAATGATCATGATCAAAGGCTTGTAAAACAATGATCCATCAACTGAGAATGCTACAAATAATTGCTATAAAGAAGTACATTTAACCATTTAACTGTTAAAGGGGGACCAACATAAAAATGTATTTTTCTCCAAATCCTGGTCCTGCGTTTAAAGACATTATAAAATTATCAGCTTTATAATATCAATCCTGTACATAAAAGCTGTATGTTTTATTACATACTCTTTAATAAATGATGGTTAAAGCCACTTGTCGGTGGACTACTCAGCGCACCCATACAATCAGTAAACACAGAAACAAAGTCTGACTTACTGTAGCTCTGTGCAACATGTTTCATGTTATTATTTTCTTTTCATACTTGTTAACCATTTACCAATAAAATGCTGGGTAAAGGTGATTGAGGGTTAATTTGTCTACCGTACATAGTACACAAACATGCATGTAGTTATACATTAAAAAAAAAAAAATTCTATATAATCATACATATATGTTTTTTTTTAATATTGCTCATATAGTGGCTAAAGAAAGAATGAAATAAAGATAGTGACTTACCTCCATCTCTTTTATTTATAACATCCAGAATCTTCTTCACATTTTCTTCATTATTTTTAACCACTGTGTAAAGGAGAGAACAAGAGAGAGAGAAAGAGAGAGATAAAAAGAAAAAATAGGTTAATCGACATGTCATATGCATTATGATTACAACTGATCTACAGGTACAGATTACAGACTCCATAATTACAATAAATACTTATTGTCTTCACTTAGCAGACCATAATTGTAATTACCCTAGAGATTTGTACAATCACACATACATGTATCTATTATTTTGTGAATTTCAATCCGAAAATCATCTCTTTGTCAAACAGATCATCAGAAAAAAAATAGGGGCTAGGTAATTGGCCTCAATACACATGCACGAATGTCATGTGGAGATATGTATTGTGTATCATATATGTGACAACATTCTTTAGTTGAAAGGAAAATGCAAAGAAAGGCAGAAAAATCACTTGCATCACCTTTTGTTCTTTCTTGACAATAATAAATGGTGGTGACAGTGGTAGTGGTGGTGATGGAAGTAATGGGGATGGTCATAATATAACATAGCATACAGTGTATATCACTCATGTCCCAATGCACTATTAAACATAAGAACATACAGTATACCCACATAAATCAACTTATCAATTTAAATCTCAGCACCTTTTAACTTTAATTAGCTTAACTTTTAACATATCATGTTATCACTATTAAACCTGAGCTTTTTTCATGTTTTTTTTTTTATAACCTTTGCTCATTTTCTATCTATCTGTTTCCTTTACATGAATCTCTGCATCTTTCAATTTTGTCATAACCTTGAATTAAATCAACAGACAATTTTGCATTCTGTACAAATTTAAACGTCAGGAAACTGAATACCCGGTAGCTAGAGCCTTTAATCATGGACAGTAACAGTGTCATTAGCTTGACAAATTTTTTGATGAAGGTACCATCGACAATACAAGAAATGTAGTAATGATGTATTCGGCCTATATACATGTACACAGGTGTATTGAAAATTGAAGGACGAAACCATCGTTAATGCAGACATCCTTGCGTAACGAGAGTTATCATTATTTTGCTATCTATGTTGTCTACGTGTAAGGCTAAGTATGATGACGATGGAGATGTTATGAGAAAAATAGTCACTAGACTGCATAAGAGGGGTTGAAAAATAAGAAGCTGGCCTATAATGAAAGAAAAGGAAATGCACAAAGAATCAGCAGCTTATTAATGTAGCTGTGAAGGACGTTTCGGAAAATAAAAGAACCTTCCTTTCTCATTGAACTGGCATCCTTTCTTCTACTTTAATCACTGTATAAATCAGTTCCTTTCTCTGTCGACTCCACCCAAAATCATGCCGACAAGTGCATGTATTTATCTTCTCAACAAAAATTAAAGAAGTTGTTGAGAAATTCACCTCTCTCCCCTCCCACTTTCTCTTTCACTAGATATAAAAATATTCCCTTCTAAGGAAAGTGCCATCAAGACTGCCTCTCTCTGGTCCCCTTTTAATTATTCATGCAAAAAACAAATATATATATATCTTTTCAAGAAATTGAATTAAAGAAAATATTCACACACCCCAACTTCATTTATCATTAATCCTGCATAATTCATTACATATACTGTAGTTGTTGTTTTTCTTTTCAGAAAAATTACATCGAAATTATCAAGAACCACCACCTTTTCCAGTTACCTTCTCAAGAAAAGTAGACTGCAGGAATAAAAATTTACCCCCCCCCCTCCCCCAGTTCTTGTCATTATTCCTGTGAAAATTCAGCTTGTATTTCTCAATTCAATTAGATAAACACATCAGAGAATTCATATTACATGTACACACCTTCTTCCCCCCCCCCCCCATCAGAATTCAGCAGACATTTTTCTTTAGAAGAAAATACACCAAAGAAACCTCCACAAAATCAAGAACCCTCTCCCCCCCCCCACCCTCTTCACCACACACCTCCCATTTGCTTTCTCCTCCTTCTATCCGGTCGAGAGTGGGAAGTTAATTACAAGGACCTGACCTCGTTAGGGGTGATTATGCGCTGAATCAGCTGCTAATTAACCCAGCCATTAGGCCCGTTTAAGATGGTGGGATGGATTAAAGGTCTGGAAGACCTCAGCCATAACAATAAATACATTAAGAGCCAGAAGGGGGGTACATGTATGATTTAACACCCTTCTGTCACAAAACTAATAAAGCCTCGGTCACAGATGTCATTACGAACTGCTACGAACGCCGTACAAACTTCGGGAAGACAACAGAAAAACAGGGAGATTCGTACAAAATTTCGTTCGCACAAACCTTTGTGACTGTAGCATAAGTTGTCCTCTTCACTGAAAGTAGTTTACTACATAGCAAAGAATATTCTATAAATCTGTAAGAAATTGAATCGTAATTCAATAGATTTACACTTTTTATTTGTATTATGATTGTGGGAAATTCACAGATCTTAATCAGAGAAAATGAATTAATAACATGTTTTTTTAGCATACCGGTAGTAATCTTATATCAATATTTACATTGTAATATATGTGTATGACACTATACACAATGCAGCCACTTTTGTGTTAACAAAAAAGAAAGAAATCCACTGAGAACGCTATACCTTTAACGTATTGATGTATTGTAAGTATTCCAAGGTTAAAAATTGAAGACAGTCAACATGTATGACAGCAACTGTCGAAAATTGGGGTATTGTGCTCAATGTTACTGGCATAACACCAAGGGCATAATTTTACACTTTCAATCAGCATGTGAAGATCAATATGTGAGTCACATCACATTATTCAACAAAGACATGCATCTGCCAGCTCTAAGCTTCGGGAATCATTGCTTAGTGTTCCAGAATCGTATCTGCAGCTCTTTGTCGGAATAAGTAATTAATCTTGCCCTATAACATACATGGATGAATGTTTGGAGAGGTAACAACAGGGAAAGTGGTTGAGCGGATCCATTTTTATAACATGGGATAAAAGGTATACAAGAGAAGAGAGAAAGAGAAGAGAGAAACAGAGTTGGGAGGGTGAGGGGTAAGAACTATGAAAGGGGAGATGAGGATAATGACAGGGAGATGGAGAGAGGGGAGAGAGAGAGAGAGAGAGAGAGAGAGAGAGAGAGAGAGAGACTAGGAGTAAGAAGAAAGAATGCAATAAGAGCAACAAAGACTCTTAGGAGCAAATTAGAGAGCTGGAAAGGAAAGGAGAGACAAAGAGAAATGGATGAGAATGAGCATGAGAAAATGCATAGAAGTGGAGATTCAGGGTAAAGAGAAAGAGAAAACAGAAAAAAGAGGAGATCTAATGAAAAGAAGACTGACCAAAGACAATTTAAAGTGGGCACTATTTTCCTCTTAAATTCAACATGAACGTGGAGACAGGAAATCTGGAAACCTATCAAAACAGAAATCCCTTTAGCATCAGAATGGGCTAGATGAGGAAATGTTCAAGCCTCATTCAAACATGAACCAGTAAACCCCTGTGCAAAGATCAAAATAAAATGAAAATTTGCTCAGTGAATATTGCATATCTGGAGCATTATAGCAAACAAATTACAATGAATGACCCATTTGTCTCTCATTTATTACATGAAATGGTTTTATATCATTTTTCTTTTCGCTGGGGTAATTTCCTGAAGCGGTTTTCAACATCAAGTGTAAACAGAGCTTTATGCACTTTAAATTCGAGCAATTTATGATTTAGTCTACCAGTACCTAATGGGTAGAACATGAGAGTATACCCCCCCCCCCCACCCCCCCCCCCCTCTCTCTCTCTCTCTATCTCTTCTCTCTCCCCCTTTCTTTCTCTCCCATCCCCCCTCTCTATCTCTCTCTCTCTCTCTCTCTACATTCTCTCTTTCTTTTCCCTTTACTTACTTTCTATATGTCGAATAATACATGTAACACTAGCTCTAGACTTGCACTAAACTATAATACATGAACTAATTCTGAGCATTTCAAGTTTTGTCACGACAATCAAATAAGGCCATTTGTCAAAAGTAAATTTCCAAATATTGACCACTTGAAATGCAAATAACAATGGTCATGAACCCCATCATAGGTTAATTATTGGTAAACAAAAATGGGCAGTTCTAAGACAGATGTACTAATCAATTACATGATGAAAGACCCACTCATTGGAATGCTTTGAAATGCTTTGAGGCCTGGTAAAAAATGACTGATATACCATATACATCTATGCTTAGAGCAAAAAGGATATTAACGCTATGTAAACGTATGAGTTAATGCTCCCTTATATTAGCACTAATATAGAATATGCGTCTCATGCGATTAGAAAAAAAGTATTAGAAGCAACCACACTGTGTCAGTGCCAAACCTTTGATGAATCAAACAATATTGAAATTGTCCACTTACAGTACGCCCATACATTAAAGTAGCATTTCAAATTATTAATTACATGAACATCTCACAAATGCACCTGCATGCATGTAAAATCCAAATACGATAGAGACGGGTTTGCCATAAAATTCTATAACTTACAAACCTGTGTATGTATATCTCTCATCATTTCCATAAAAAACAACTGTTGTTTACCAAATCTGTGTGTCCATGCACATGGCTTATTTTCAATTAAAGTATAGGCCTAAATCTACATCGGATGTAAATGAACAGCTGTTTCATGTCAGTTACGAAACATCATGGCACAGTACATGTTCCATACATGTTCATGTAATAGAGATTGTTTTGTCCTTGATTCCTCATCTTGCAAATGTGTACTCATTTTGACAGTTACATTACACAAAGACTGTTGCAAATATTGATTGGAAATAAACATACAAGTCTACAATGTACATGTCAAATCCTACTTTGAATTAAAATATATACAGTGTGTGTTCATATCTTGCAAAATGTACAATGTGTCCTTCTCTTGGTATTCTATTAAAAGACAGGCTGGCAAATATTGATTGGATTTACATGCATGTATCCTGGTACTGATAATCAAATACAATATCCAAGCGCTCTATCAAATTGTATTACCAATCAGCAGGTATGTATAGTACATCTGGCAGCATGCACTGTTTCAATTGAGTCACAAAAATAGCAGTAGGCTCT